CTGGACTGGCTTTGGACCTCAGATCTCAGCCTCCTGAGTAGCTAGGATTACAGCTGTGAGCCACCAGTGCCCGGCCTGTTTTCTTACCTATCTTGTTGTTCTCCTGTTTGCCATGGCCTAAGCCATGTCTCATCTGTGTGGCTTATACCCGTGGCTGCCCCTGACATCCGTGGCACTGTCTCCTGGCCCTCTGCTGTCCTGTCACAACTGTCACCCCCTGCTAGGTTTCCAGGGTCCTGCTCCACATTCAGTAAGGCCAGATCTTGTCCACACAGCCCTGTACGGAGCCCAGAATGTGCTCGGGGGTCAACGTCCACTGTGAAAGCCGGGTGCCAGATTGCATGGGGCTACAAAAGCTGTGAAGGAATGCTTCCAGCAGCTTCCACCAGAAGTCTCAGCCGATTTACCCAGGTGTGCTGCACACGTGAGCCCCACGGACAAAGCCACCTGTCCACACTGCCGGACTGTCCGTGTGCAGTGCAAGGCCCCTTCCATGCCCGCCGCCTCATGTGTGCTATAAGCACATCCTGGTGTTCTGAGATTTTGAGTAAAATGCCATCCAGTCAGTAGACACCTGCCTTAACTCATTGCGAAAAGAACCCAACTCTAGTGTGCATGGCCCCTGCTGACGGGCTGACCATAGATGGACCCAAGCCCCATGGACTTTCCTGCCCAGCCCAGAAGGGGAGACCGCTGGGAACCTTGCCGAGGGAGCCTGGTGATTACCATGGAGCGCCAGGCATGGGTGGCAAGGGGCGAGGGGGCATGACCAGAGGCTATAGCCGGCCAGAGGTGCTCACGTAGCTTGGCATTTCATAGATTTGAAGTGAGACTCCTGGGTTCTTCACCCCGCCCTGCAGGCAGCAGTGGGGGCTGGGAGGGCAGTGCACTCACAGAGGGACTTGGGGGAGATGCTTCCTCTGCAGGTCCTGGGGCGAGGCAGCAGAGATGGGGGGAGGGGGCGGGTGGCTATGGCATGCTTTAGGCTTTCAAGGAATCTGGGTCTCCAGGCAGGGCCTGGCTCAGTGGCCCTGGCACTGGGGTGATCCCCCGTGGAGTGGGAGTGGCCACAGCTGAGCTGAGGATCAAGGGAACATTCCAGAAGGCGCCTTCCAGGCTGAGTGGAAATTACTGGCGTATGCTGGGAACAGGGAGTGACTGGGTGTGGCCGCAGTGAGCGGTGAACCAGAACAGGAGGCTGGTCCCTCGGTAGGACCAGCTCCCCACAGCCAGGGGCACCCCCATGGCACCCCGTCCTTGCCGTGTCTCCCAGCTGGCTCTGTGGGATGGGGACAGTATGTGGCCCACATGGGCGCGGGAAGGAGCCGCCATGTCTAACCTGGGACTTTGCCTTCAGGCCTTCTCCAGCCTCTTGGGAGGAGCTGCCAGGCCAGGCTGTGGCTGGCACTGGGCAGAGCAGGGCGGGACAGGGACGAGGAATGAGGGACAGTCCTGAGGTGGCTTCCTGGTTGTCTGTGCAGAGCTCGGTGGGAGGCCTGTCTGGGAGGAGGCCATGGCAGGGCTGTCACCTCTGGGAGCTGTGGGGGCCCTGTCTCACGCCCCGCCCCACCCCATCCCGGCTGGAGGCTCTGGGGGCCTCAGGGTATCTGTGGAGCTGGGGGGCTAGCTTGGCCAGGACTTCCTGAGTATTGAGAAAGGCCCCCATCAATACCAAGGCTGGTCCTGGGGCCTGGGCTGAGGGTCAGGCCCCAGGATCCTCCGATCCTTCCAGAAAGTTTTGACCATCTCAAGAGGCCAGAGGACCTCATGTGGCAGAAACTCAGCCCACACAGAGAGCCAAGTGTCAGCGTCTGAGAAACCTCACTGCCCGCCTGCTGTGAGCCAGCTCTGCTCACCAGGCCAACCCCATACCATGGGATGGGACTTGAACTTGTAAAAGGGCAAGGGGGAAAGACCTTTCCTGGGACTATTGTCACGAAGAACTACCAACTAGGTCACTCAGACATCAGAACTGCTTGTCCCCAGTCCTGGAATGCCAGCAGCGAGGTATGGGCACGGCTGGTACCCCCTGGGGACCCAGAAAGCTCCTGGCCCACGCCATGGGTACTGCCTCTGGTGGCCTCTGGCTGGCTGGCTTCCCCTTTAGGGTTATAAAGTCATGTTGTACAGGACCCACAGAAGCGACTTTCCCCTAGCCTGATTGCCTTCAGTGATCGTTTCTACATAATGTCACCTTCTCAGTTACTGGGTCACGACTGCAATACTGTGTCGTTGGGGAAGAAGGCCAGCCTACCACAAGGTCCCCCTGGGGCCGTTCATAAAAGCACCACCCAGAGCCCCAAGCCCAGATGGGAGTGAGAGGGGCCGGGCCAGGGCCCCTAGACCCCATCCTTTGCCACTGGTGGGAGCTACCCTCTGGTCCTTAATCCGAGTCCCTGACCAGCCATGAGCTGGGTAGATCAGCCTTGTAGTGGACTTCAGGATCCTGGGGCGCACTGCACACATCCCAGCAGCCCCTCCGATGTCTCACACCTGCAAGTGTGGGAATGAGGCACCATTGAAGTAGCATCAGGAAGACGGTTCTCAGGATTTGCAATAGCGTCTGGGGAAAAAAATAAAAGGATGGGGGACATATTAGTAGAAGAAAGCTCAATTCCAATTTTTATGTACGATTTTATTTCAAATACAGACCTTAAAGGGCTTTATTGAGATAGTTCAGTCATATAAAGTCTGCAGTTCATTGGCTTTTTGTATACTTAACAAAGTTGTGCAACGCTCACCACAAACAACTGTAGGACGTTTTCATCACCTCAAAAGGAACCCTCATCACTCTTAGCTGGCATCCTCCAACCAGTCCACTACATTTCTGATGGAGCCTTGCCAGCCACGGGGCTGTGCCCACCCCTACCTCCTCCCACTTGCTTCCATTCAGTGGTGTGTAGGGGGGTGGGGGGGACAGGAGGCTATTTTGCTCTTTGACACAGGATCTCACTAGATCAGGCTGGCCTGGAACTCTCTATCTTCCCACCTCAGCCTCTCAAGGGTTGGGGTTACAGGTGTATGCTACCACACCCAGTTTCCAACTATATGTTTAAGTTAGGAAAAAAAAAAAGTGAAGAGCTGGGCACTGGTGGCTCACACCTGTAATCCTAGCTACTCAGGAGGCTGAGCTCTGAGGATCAAGGTTCAAAGCCAGCCCAGACAGAAAAGTTGGTGAGGCTTCTCTCCAATAAACCACCAGAAAACTGGAAATGGCGCTGTGGCTCAACTAGTGGAGTGCTCGCTAGCCTTGAGCTGAAGACAGTGCCCAGGCCCAGAGTTCAAGCCCCATGACTGACCAAAAAAAGAAAGTGAAGAGACCAGACAGTATGACTGGTTCCAGTTAACAGCAGATGTATGGTTTTAATTTTCTTCTCTAATTTTTTTTGTATTTTTCTATTATATAATGAGTAGAGGTCGCTTCATAATCAGGGAGGGGGATTTTATTTTAAAAATAAAGACGGCCCATGTCACCCGCTCCTCCACAGCTCCCCCTCCCTAATTAAGTGGCTCCTCTTGGGCCTTAGTGAGTGATGGGCTGCTGCCTCATCCTTTGCTTCTTTAATGGCATTGGAGCCAGCCAGCCTTGGGCTGTGTGCGGCAGGAGGAAGACAGTTCCTCGCCCCGAGCTGGTGTGGACTTGGGGTACCTCAGATGTGAAAGGTGACCCCTGCTCTTGGCGATTATGTTACACAGTTTAAATACAGTTGCAAGGTCATCCAGCCACTGGAAACTGTTGGGACGAGTGTCCACTGTTGGGGCAGGGCCACACCGGGGACCCAGCGCCACCTGGTCAGCTACCTAACAAGACACACAGGTCCTGGTCACTGTCCTAGACACCCCCCTTCCAGCAGTGGCCTTCTTACCTCCTGTGTCTCACAGCCCAGTCAACAGTATGTCCTCACTTCCATAGCTCCAGTGTGTGACCATGCTGCCTCCATCATGGGTTCTTCATGGATATGAGAAATGCCTAACATGCCCGTGTGTATGTCCTGCCTGCCCCCAATGGGGCCCCTTGGCTTTCATGAAATAATTCTTCCTCTTCTTTTAATAATTCCTCCTCCCTCCTTCCCTCTCTCCCTCCCTCCCTCCCTCCTTTTCCTCCTCCTCTTCTTTCTCTTTTTCTTTTTGCCAGTCCTGGGGCTTGAACTCAGGGCCTGGGCACTGTCCCTGAGCCTTGTTGTGCTCAAGGCTAGCATTCTACCACTTGAACCATAGCACTACTTCTGGCTTTTTCTGTGTATGTGGTACAGAGGAATCAAACCCAGGGCTTCGTGCATGCTAGGCAAGCACTCTGCCACTAAGCTACATTCCCAGCCCTTCTTCTGCTTTCTTCTCTCTTCTTCATCTTTTTCATCTTTGTGCCGTTACTGGGACTTGAACTCGGGACCTCGCAGCTTGGCTTTTTTGCCAAGGTTTATGAGTCCCCATTTGAGCCACATGCCCAATTCTGGCTTTCTGGTGGTTAATTGGAAATAAGAGTCTCTTATGTCTGCCTTTTTCTCTTATGAGACCAAAAGCATTTTCCTTCTTGGCAGTCAACAACTTTTTCATCATGGATAACTTTGAACCACAATCCTCAGAACTCAGCTTCCTGAGTAGCAAAGATTATAGATGTGAGCCACTATTGCCCAGCTGCTTCATGAAATTCTTAAGCCGATCTCAGAACCCTCAGATTGAAGCACTTTGCTCTGGGCGTGAGCTTCGGTTCTCACCTGGCCACCCTGGCCAACTGCTCGAGAGGGCGGTGCTCCTGGCCAGTGGTCACGGCCGGGGTGCAGTGCCTGGCTAACACACAGACTCCCCCGCGGGTGCTGAGCTGGTGGGGTGGCACTACCGGCTCCACCCACTGTCTCCTCTTCCTGAGCCTGCAGACGGGTGGGAGGCGCCCACGAGGAGACCCGGGCTCGCTTTGCTGTGGGATTCACTCGCTACCTAATGACTTTTAAATTACCCCTTGACAAACGCTGAGTGCCTGGTTTTTCTTTTCTCTCTTGCAGATTGATGCACTAAGTAAAAGAAGCAAAGAGGCGGAGGCAGCCTTCCTCAATGTCTACAAGAGACTGATTGATGTTCCAGGTAAGCTGGGCTCTGGCCAGCCTGCTGCCAGGGCACCATGTTCCCTCTGGCTTCCTTGAGCTGTCCAAGCCACCCCCACTCCCCTACCTGGAGCAGGGAAGAGGGGAAGCCTGGGAGAGCCCACAGCCTTTGCAAATATGGAAAGCCAGAGCATTCGTTCAAGGATGCTCTGCAAATACAGAAACCCCGGTCTCTACAATACAGCGTGTGGCAGGGAGCCGCCTCCTGCTGCTGAGGCCGCCTGCAGGGTGCAGGCACCAGTGGAGCACCTGCAGGAGCAATGGCCTTGGCACAAGTCTTTCAGTTAAGGGTAAAAGCTGATAGCAAACTCTGCCAACGAGGAGACTGTCTCCATTCCTCTCCCACTGTGGTTGGATATTTGCCCTGATGAGCGATCCAGAGATCCTGCCCTGGGCTTGTGAAGGGGTCACAGTGGTGTTCCTTCCCTCTTGGGATCTGTTTTCTTATCTGTGAAGTAGAAGGTTTCTGTGCTCTTAACTTTTTTGTCTCCTAAGGTGCTTATCCAGCTCTTGGTACTAAATTTTGGTCTTTTGATTTTTTCTTAAGAGTTTGTATGTGACTAGAGGTTTTCTGAACACTGAGAGAGGCTTCTCTAAGGTGAATGGATTCCGTTGTTTGGAGCTCAGGGTTCGTTGGTGCCTCTGGTAACAGCAGCTCGGTAGGTGGCGTTTGCCTTGTCTGATTTGCAAGGTAGTGTTTGGGAGTTTTCTCTCTGAACTGTGGCAGTCAGTCCACAGTGACTCAAGGCCTGGAGGATTCCTGGGAAGAGTGGAGCCTGGGCTTTGATCCCCGGAGTGTTTTCGTCTTCCAGAGCATTCATTCTTTCATGAGCCGGTTCTGTGGGTTCTATTCTGGAAGGTTCTGCTCTGTGAAGAGTCACCGTCTTTCCTTGCCTGGGCTGGCTTTGAACCTCAGTCCTCAGATCTCAACCTCCAGAGTAGCTAGGATTACAGGCGTGAGCCACTGGCACTCAGCATTGAAGTTCCTTCTTAAAAGGTCAGGTTGGTCTAGGGCTCTCCCCTAGTGGCACTTCTTAGCTGATTAACCATTAGACAGGTTATTAGTTATTAGTTAGTGTTGGTCATGGGACTTGAACTCAGGGCCTCAGTGCTGTCTGTGAGCTTCCCCCCCCCCCTTCTGCTCAAGGCTAGCACTCTACCACTTTGAGACACGGCTCCACTCCCAGGTTTTAGTTGGTTAATTGGAAATAAGAGTCTCATGGCCTTTCCTGCTCCAGCTGGCTTCAAACCATGATCCTCAGATCCCAGCCTCCTGAGTAGCTAGGATTGCAGGCATGAGCCACTGCAGCTGGCTTCTCCAATTTTTTTCTGTCTTAATTCCCACAGATCCCACAGAGGTAGTTTTTTTGCCATCCATATCCCTCTGCACCCGTGCGTACACGTCATTTTATAGAATTTTGATCTTGATTTGGGTATTTATTTACATCTGCCTTTTTCTCATATGAAACCAAAAACGTATTTACCTTCATAATTATCATTTGGGACTGGGACATCCAAAACCACTGTTTAACTAAGATGGTAGGAGTGGCTAAACCTGATGTTTCCTGTAATACCAAAGTCGAGGAGAATGTACCTCAGCCCTTGCTGCCTGACCCGCGTCTCCTACCAGTGTTTCTGCTGGGTAGGTGTGTGCAGGTACGCGAGCCGCAGCTGTGGCTGGAGCACTCTACCTGTGTTTGGGAGTCTGACAGTGGTCCAGATGAGGTAATCTTGTGGCCAGACTTACAGGAAGGGCCTGGTCAATAGCTGCACATTTACCAACCACCCCTGGCTGGGCAGGGCCAACTGGCGTCCCTGTCTGCGAGCCTCAGGCTTCAGAAGCACTCTGGTGTGTTGGGCTCTGGTTGAATAGTAACTGCTCACGTGATCTTGTAGCCCAAGGAAACCTGCTGGTCCACCCGACTCCAATCAGGAGCCTGGTGGTGAGCAGGACTCAGAAGGGGAGCCTACAAGGGGCTATGCCCGCCCACCTCACCTGTCTGGGAAGCTGCTGGCCTTCTTTGTTTGTTACACTAGAAATCTAACCCCAGGCCTTGTGCTTGCTATGCAAGCACTCTACTACTTGACCCACACTCCCTGACCTTGTGTTTATATTTTGTCTTTGAGATAGGGTCTTGCCAACTTTGCCCAGACTAGATTCAGAATTGAGATCCCCTTCCACCCCTCCTGTACTTTCCGGGATGAAAGGTGTGTGCCACCATGCCCGGTTTTGTTTTCTTTTTTCTTTTTTTGGGGGGTCCGGTCATGGGGTCTGAACTCTGGGCCTGGGCGCTGTCCCTCAGCTCTTCAGCTCAAGGCTAGCGCTCTACCACTTGAGCCACAGCACCACTTCCGGCTTTTTTCTTTTTGCTTATGTGGTGCTGAGGAATTGAACCCAGGGCCTCAGGCATGCAAGGCAAGCACTCTACCACTGAGCTACCTTCTCAGCCCTGTTTCCTTTTTTCTTGGCTGTTGGTCCCCCTGGATAGACTTCCTCAAGGGCAGAGCCTTGCCCTGTGCTCGGAGCCTGGCACACACATGCCAGGCCTCCTGCAGTTAGCCTGGGTATCCAGGATTGCCTCCCGGGCTCCCCTGGGGGGACCCGTGGGAACCTGCTTCTGCCGGTTTGCCTTCCTCCTGCATCCTCGCCTTAGTCAGTGGCCTGCTGGAGCACCAGTGGCCTATGCTGGGATAGAGGTCACACTGCCCATTTGCTCCAGAACATTGTGGATTTCACTTACTCTGCCCGGCTCCTGCAGCTACCCTGCAGCTCTGCTCCGGACTCAGGCCCAGGCTGGCTTCCCTCTCTCCGGCCTTCTCATTGCTCTCCTGCTCCCTGTGCAGCCCAGGCTGGCCTTGAGCCTCTGATCTCCTGCCTCAAATGCTGGGATTACAAATGGATGCCACCACACCTGCTCTCCCTCTGTGACGACTCGTTATAGGTTGGCTAATGACATTCTGATTGGCAGGTAGCTGCACAGGTGACAGTGGTCCCAGGTGTGTGGCTTACCCAGTGATGTCACCGTGGTCTTCACATGAGTGGACTTTGTGGCACATGCAGAGTCCAAAGCCCCATGTGGCCCAGTGTGCCCCAGCTGTGTCTCCCCCAGCTTGGCAGAGACGGAGACAGTTCAGTCTCCTCCTTCATGGTTTCCCTAGGATCACCCAGTCAGCAGGAGTGCCATGGAGATTTGCCAAATGACAGCATAAATGAGTGGATCAAATCATGTCTTCAACAGGTGGTCTGAGTTAGACCTCAGGTGTTCATTGTTCACAGGAAACCATGATCCCCAGGTTGGCCCCTCCCACGGAGGACAAGCATCCCGGGCCTGGGAGCTATAGACAGCTTGTCAGCTGCAAGGATGCATGTGCAGTGGTAGCTCTCTGAACTCCTGTTCTGATTTGGTGTCATCTAGAGATTCCCGTGGTTGCACGGTCTTCCTGTGGCACTCGGCGTCTGGGCCTTGTCCCTCCCGAGGACCTGCTCCAGACAGATGGGACTGTGACCAGCTAGGCGTGCTTGGTCCAACAGCTGTCAGGCTGGCATCTGGGTGAGGGCTCTCCCCGTCCTCCAGGCTGTCCCCCTCCGGCCTCTCTCTTGCATCTCACTTGTGCGCCCTACTCCTCCTCACTCTCCCAGATCCAGGGGCATTCTTTCAGAACTCCGTGTGAAAGAGCAGACCAGATACTCAAACACATGGTAGTGAAGATAGCCCCCATGCACCATGCGCACCGCTAGCCTGAGGCACACTCTTCATTCCTCAGTCAATTTGGAGAGCATTTCAGAGCCACTATCAGAAATGCCCTGCATCAACCCAGCCCTGCTCTTTTCCCAAACCTCATGCTCCTTACCTCTTATCACTGGGGGTGCCTGAGGAACCCCCTTCTCCCACTGCTGCTGTGTGTTGAGAACAGACCCTGCCTCCTCACACTTTCCCTGGGCCAGCCTTCCGAGATCCTCCTATCTCCACCTCCCACATGGCAGGGATTACAGGTATATGCTACCATGCCTGAACCTTGTCTTGGGTTTTAAGCAGGGACATGGCATGACCAGATCTGTGGATCAAAAGGGTCATCCTGACTACAGGTTAGACAAGGGATTAAAAAGGGGTCCAAGGTGGGGGAGGAAGGGCAGGATGGGGGGGCAGGAAGAAATAGGACACTTGGTTTGGGGCAGTTGAACTCTATTTAGGAGGAAGGATAGACTTAGTTGGAACGAAGAGGTAAAGGACTTTAAGAGATAGGTCAGATCTGCCTGGGCTCAGCTAAGTCTGCTCTTTTCTCATCTGAAAAAGAGTATTTGCTCACTAGGCTTCATTTGATTTAAAACACTAAAAAGAAGGCCAATGGAAATGTGGAGAAATGTCTAATTCTGCTGCTCCCTCGTGGAAGATGACGTGAGAATTCACAAGGAAACCATTCTACGTCCAGGTTTGGATGGCATCGCTGTCCACTTCACACTGGCAGTGTCCACAACCTGGTCCAGGTGCGGTTCGTGGGGCCACACTAGTGCTGACATGCCACACACTCCCCCGCAGCCCCAGGTCTGCACATCCCAAGGACAGCCCAGGACTCAGCCGGCCTCCTCCTGCCCCTCACATCCAGCGCAGTGCCGGGGTGCTGCACAGTCACAGCCTGGGCAGAGCAGCGGGGACCCTGCACAGTCCCACACCCCACGTCACCGTCTGTCCTGCAGCACAGCCCTCTGGAGAGCTGCAACTGCTCCAGGACTTCTGGCCCCTGGGAGCTGCCATTCTCCTGGGCTCAGAGCAAAGTTAGGGTGGAATGCATAATCTGCCAGCCATTAACCTCTCTGGGTGACTCCTCTCTTCTTGTTCTCAGAGTTTTGACAATGGGGATGTGTTTATTTCCCCACCAGGGAGGGGACAGCGTAAACCAATACAGTAATCATCTTGTGATCTAAGTTTCTGAATGGCTCTTATTAGTGCATGGCAGGTACCAGCCGAGTCACTTGACTAT